ACCGTAATGAAAGAAGCTTTCGAAAGGGTTCTGAGGTTCCTCGGAAAAGGAGAACAGAGATTTCCAGGCTCAGCCTCTGAGATGTGATGATGGGCTCACTGCCCTGTGAATGACAAAACCAGAGCCTCTTTGAATTTTAGAGAAAGCTTTTGACAAAAATCTGTTTGGCTAGCTAGATGGACACTATGGAGAAAGGCAGGCTGGCAAGTTGACAGTGGCTACTATGACTGGCCACACCTGAAGGGGGAGGCGAGAGGAGCTGACCTAGATGCAGGAGTCCAGGGCTGGGTCAGTGCACGCCCTGGCCCTGTCCATCAGTGTCATGTATGAAGATAAAGAATTTGCTAATCAAATCTGAGGATGACAGGTAGTTAATGCACTAGATAACAGAACCAGCATTCTAAGGCAGTCTCAGAAGTCTGAAAGGATGGGCTGAAACTAACAGGATAAAATTAAGTAAGGAGAAAAATCCCCTCTCACTCTGGCCTTGTTTGGACCTAAATTCACAAGTATAGCTCAGGTGAGGTCTGGCTTCTCAGTGGATAATGTAGCTGAACACTTTATAACCGGTTAGTGATAAACACGTATGAGTTGTTACTCGCCCGAGAAAGACCCAAGAGTTTTGAGTAACTGTAAGCTTGATATAACTCAGAAGTGCCTTTGCTCCTGCCAAAAGAGCTAATAAATGCAAAGCAGCCAAGACAAGGGGAGTAGTGGCTCAAAGATGATATTAAAAATATTTAGTAACTGGTGTGTCCTGCACCCACCAGCCAGAAAGGCTTAGGTTGTAGCATTGGAGCAAGCATTTACCTGCTTGCAGGAATTTGCCTTTAATTGCAGGGTTATGGGGAGGAGCATGCTTAAGGAGCCTCTGGGGATGGGGGTCGGGGAACAGAACAGCAACTGTAAAAATTTCAGTGTTTTACTAACCCATAGGTCCATGTGGGTACCCACTGGCTGAATGTGTCTGTTAATAACCCTGTTACACTCTGCTGATCTCCCAGGTGAGATCGAGTTCAGTGGAGGCTCTACTACAGCTTCAAAAGGGATATTGATGAACCCACACACTTGAGAGGGAGGGTGGCCAGGGGTGGGATGCAGGGAAGGCCTGGTGATTATATCAGATGGGGAGTGGATGAAGGAACTAGGGCGGTTTCATCTGGGGAAGATGGGGCCTCAGACATGTGAAGGACTGCCATGTAGGAAACAGAAAGAATAGATTCCTACACCCCAGGAGACAGACCTGGGACAATTGGGTGGCAGCAAGATGTGCTCAGATTCTGGCTTAACGAGAAGACTTTTTAACAAGCAGAACTGCCTAAAGTTGGAGCCTTGTGAGACAGTGCCCCCTGGCCCTGTTCCTGGAAAGTTCAGGCTAAGGCTGGGTACCAGCTCTCATGAATGTGGTACAGGGGGCTCCTGCTTAGGATGACAGGGGGGACAGGCTGGACTCGATCACTTTGGAGTCCTTCATATCCTCCACACATAATCTGGTGGTGGTATGCGGAATGGACCGAAGGGGGAGGACTAGATTTATCTGGAGCGGCATTTCTGGGGAGAGACAATGGGGAGGAATTCTGGCCACCCAGCTCTTTCGCCCTGGTGCCCACCTGAGGAATCATTGGTGGGATGGCAGCTGTCTGGGTCCAACATAGCGGGTTTCTTATCTTGGTGCCAGTGGCCTCCCTCATCAGCCTGGGACAGCTCTGCCTAGAGCAGAGGAGAAGGGTAGGGGGCAGAGGATCCTTGGGGTAAGGGCTTCCTGGGTCTGGCCCCTGCCATGTTTCTCTTAAGAGTGGGATGCGGGCTGGAGAGGCCTGAGGCTGGAGAGAGCTGCCTTAGGGGCCAGACGCCCTCAAGGTGGAGGTGATTTCTCCCGCAGATGCTGCGTCCAGGCGGCTGGGAGGAGAAGGAAGGGTTGGGAGCCTTCAGCTGTGTCTCCCCAGCTCGTCTTCCTCCCCCTGTTGTTCCATCTGCCCTCAGACATGGAGTTGGAGCTGCTTCGGGGGAGCCAGGCCATCATGCTTCGCTCGGCAGACCTGACGGGGCTGGAGAAGCACGTGGAGCAGATCCGGAACCACATCAATGGGCGCGTGCTCTACTACGCCACCTGCAGGTGATGCGCCAGCGTCCAGCCTGTGGCCCTGCTCATCTGCCCTCTTTGCTTCTGGGGGCCAGACTGGCTTGGAATACTTTCCAGCTGCAGGAAAATTTTATGCAGCCTAAAGCACAGCCTGGACCACCCTGGTGTGCGTTGTTAGGATTACTCTGGGCTGCAGCTGAGCCTGGGCTGATGGGACAACTACCGTTGAGGGACAGACATGGTGGAGGCGGGCCACATCGTTGTAACCAGGAGCTCTCAAGTGGAGGGCACTTGGCTGGGCAGTGTCCTTGCCCTTCATTCTCCATTGAGGCTGAATCCTGGACCAACACAGAAACATAACTAAAAATGATGTACAAGTGAAAAGCCCAATAAAAATCTATAGAAAGGAGCCTGGAGTTTCAAAGAGGGGAAATAGTCTGTCTCCCTGTGAAGTAAACATTTCTCATTTGTTTCTGTCTCCCATCTGGGGTTCCTGGGTACTCCTCTGCTCAAACCTGAGGCCTGGTGGTGAAAGAATAGGCTGCCACCACTCTGCTCAGTCTAGCGACTCATCACCCAGACTTAGGGAGACGGGGCCCCTTTGCTCCAGCAACTGATGGATTCTATACTTGAGAGACCAGAGGAGGTGTTTTCACCTCTGAACAACTATACGGTTTCTCGTTTACAGAAGAAAATGGAGAAATCCAGAGACGGGAAGCAAGCTGTTCAAAATCACACAGCTCCTAGAGGCAGAACTAAGACCAGACCCTGTGTCTCTAGAGATCTCAAAAAGAAGCTGTAAATGGATGTGTATGTGTGTGTGTGTGTGTGTGTGTGTGTGTGTGTGTGTGTGTGAGAAAAGAAGCTGTAAATGGATGTGTATGTGTGTGTGTGTGTGTGTGTGTGTGTGTGTGTGTGTGTGTGAATGTGTGTGCTGAAAATATGGAAATGGCATGAACGTTTGTGTGCTAACTGTGGCCCGGACGCTGTGCTAGCATTTTATCTGCATGAACTTCTTGGTCTTTATTGATCAGAGTAATTATTTATTGAGCTCTATGCTGGATACATCATCTGCATTATCTCATGATGTAGGTGGCACTGTTGTCCCCAGGTGAGGAAACCAAGGCACGAAAGGTTCAGTGACTCCCCCAAGGTCACAGATGTGGCAGGCAGGGCAGAGCTAGGCCTCAAACCCAAGTTCATCTATTACAGGCATTAGGAGGATGGCTGCTCGGGCTGGACTGTCTGGGTTCCGCTGGCACCTCCGCCAAGGGGTTGTTCTGAGAAGGAAATGAGTTGATGCGTGTAGCTCATGTCACTAGGTGCCTGGCCCACTGTGTGTCCCCCGACCACTCCTACTGTCGCTAGGTCCTACCTGACCTCAAGCTCTCTGTGCATTTTCCACTCCAGGAGGCCCAGAAGCCCCTGAGCTGCTTCTGACTTAGAGAAGAACCAAAAGAAGCCTCATAGAAAAAAATATGTTCATTTTATTCAGCACAACACAGAGCCTGAAGCTGGAGGGAGCAGGAGACCAGACAACTGGGAAGGGACGAGAACAATGTGCCTGATTTTCAGGGAGAGAGAGGGGAGCAGAGCCAGGATTTGAATTACTGGCTGAAAGAACAGTCAACTTCCAATTTTCACTTAATTGAGTGTGTGTGTAGAGGGCATCCGGCCAGGATAATAATTCCTTACGGTACCTTGCCTTGGGTTCCTTTCTTTTTCATCTTGGAGGGTGTGGTCCTGCTTTTGGACTGGGCGGCGGGGG